CCACCTTCAGAAGAGGGCAGCAAACAAGAGAGAGAATTGCTGAGGTCAGTTGGATCTTAGCTGAAAGCAGAGATTCCAGAAAGATGCTCACTTATGTCTTCTGGACTTTGCAAAGACATTGGAATTTGTGGACTATGGGTATGGGTATGGGTAACCTTGAGAAGTATGGAAATTCCATAACACATTGCACTCATGAGGAACTTGAATGTGGATTCAGAGGAAGTATGAGAACAGAAGAAGGGAATACTGCATGGTTTAAAATCAGGAAAGGTGTGTGGCAAGGTTGCACCCTTTCATTATTCATGTTCAATCTGTATACTGAGCCTTGTTAGTAACCTTGGATATGCAGATGACACAACCTTGCTTGCTGAAAGTAAGGACTTGAAGCACATGCTAATGAAGATCCAGGATTACAGATTTTAGTATGGATTATGATTTAATGCAAAAATGATTAGAATACTCAAAACTGAACCAATAGGTAACATCATGATAAAGGGAGAAAAAGTTTAAGTTTAGAAGGATTTTGTCTTGCGTGGCTTTGCAGTCAATATTCATGGAAGCAGCCATCAAGAGAGTAAATGATGCATTGAGTTAAGTATATCTAAAGACCTCTTTAGAGTATTTAAAAGCAAGGATGTTACTTTGAGGACTAATGTGCCCCTGATCCAATCTGTGATATTTTAATTTGCTTCATATGAATCTTAATTTGGATATCAAATAAGGAAGACTGAAGAATAGTTGATGTATTTGAATTATGGTTCTGATGAAGAATATTGAAAATACCATAGACAAATAAAAGGACAACCTGATCTGTCTTGGAAGAAATATGACCAGAGTGCTCTTTAGAGGCAAAGATGGCAAGACATTGTCTTACATATTTTGGACATATTGTCAGGAGAGACCTCTCTTTTGAGAAGGGTAATTTTCTTATGAAAGTCGAGGTGCCATGACAAGAGGAAGGCCCTCAATGAGGTAGATTGACCCCGGTTTGCAACAATGGGGTCAGGCATAGGAATAATGCAGGACTGTGCAGTGTTTATCTCTGTTGTGCATTGAGTTGCTATGGCTCAGAGCATACTTAATGAAACTGATAAAAACAAGCATTGACACATATGAATTACAGTGTTTGTGAAGAATATTGAGTATAGTATGGACTTGTAGAAGACAAAGCAAGTCTGTGTTTTAAGAAGTACAACCAAAATGCTACTTAGAGGTAAGGATTGCCAGATTTTGTCTTATGTACTTTGGTCATGTTATTAGCAGTCCCAGGATCAGTCCCAAGAGCAGGACATTATTCTTGATAAATGAGTTAGTCTGGGTACTTTAAAGAAACAAATCCACAGAAACTCAGGCATAAGAGAGAGTTTTCTGTAAACGTTAAGTGTGCATCAAGAAAACATCACAACCCAGTGCTGCCCAAGCCCACAAGTCCAACATTAACCCATTAACCCATAAGTCCAACACCAATCCACAAAGTCCGCCTCCTTCTCACAAAACAGACACAACAATGCCGACTGCAGGAGGAAAGATGAGTCAGCGAATGTGTAAGCGTCTCAGCGCTGGCAGGGGTCTCCACACAGCTGCCCCAGCACCCAGGGCTGCATCTGGGTAGGTCCATGTGGCTTCTCCTCAGGGTTGTCTTGCAGGAAGTGAGCCTTGCCAGCTAAAGCAGGGAACTGGCTAAGGCAGCTTCACCCTGGTACGACCATCAGAAAGCCAGAGACCCAAGAACTAGAAAGGCAAGGCTCACTGAGACATTTATCCCTCCGACCTTCAATTAACCCCACATGTGTTATTAACCCCACTGAAAAAAAATTTTTCAGGTTGGCACAATATTTAACTACCTCAGTAAACTAGAAGCTCAGCGTAAAGGATATAGACCCTTCGTGGCATGCATTGATGGAGGTTGCAACAATGAGTTCAAACATAGCAACATTTATGCGGTTGGCACACTTTTTTCTTAAGGGGGTTGCTATGTACTGGGAATGATTCAATAGCACCTAGCAACAACCAACAGCAGAACAACAAATTATTGAATAGAAAACCTGTTTGGTTGCATTGGAGTACTTGTATATCTCTTTTGCTCAATTGCCTACTCAGATTCATCTTTCTACTGAATCCTTTGTGTCTTCTTTTTTTCTTTTAATTAGTAGCCATTCTCATAATGTCACGTCCAATTTTGTCACACATGTTACATAAGTTTTCTATATGTCTTCTTTTGTTTTTAATTTCTTCACAAGATGTATACAATTATCAGAATCTTTTTAATGTAAAATTATATTCATAAATCTTTCATTTCGTAGCTGTTGCTTTTTGGGGTACATTTCTTATTTCAAAAGTCCCCCCTAGCCTAGATTTTTACTATAATGTCCTATATGTGTTGCAGCATTTTTCTTCACTGCAGATTTTGTGTTAACTTTTGTTTATTTTACTTTATACAGGTCAGAAGGCCTGGAGACATAGTGTGTTACATGTTGGGTTGCTAATCACAAGGTTCACAGTTCAACTGGCCAGGAACTCCGCTGGAGAAACACAAGGCTTTCTACTCCCCTAAAGATTTACAATCTCAGAAACTTGCATGGGTGGTTAGATTTGATGGAAACTTGTGGTGGTGGTAGTAGTAGTACTAGTAGTAGTACTACTAGTAATAGTAGTAGTAGTAGTAATGGCAATAGTAGTAGCAGTTATTCAAGTCAAACTGAAAAATATACTTCTTTTTAAATTATTTATCATCCCTGTTCCTATTCCCATCTTAGCATATTCATATTCAAGTTCTCCTATCATTCAGAATCACTCAATTGCTATTTTTCCCACTAAGCATTTTCTTATTCTTCTGGTTACAAATAACCTAATTTCCTCCCTGTGAATTTCCTATATTATGCTTAAAATAGTTGGGAAAATATGTATGAGTATGTTTCTTCTCTGTATAATTATTGAGAAAAGGTCTATAAATCTTTATATCCCAAAGGGTTTTAATCAATGTCTCAAAGAATGGGTTTTCCACTAATGTTTATCAAGTGAGAGAATGCAGGTTTAGTTTGGACAGCCAAATGCTCTTAGAATACACTGTAATTATTTGAACATGCTTAAACCTTTGTCCTATGTTAGAGCGCTTAACCTGATGCATGATCATAAAGACAATTATATATTCAGGCCGCCTCTGGCTGACAACAGTTCACGTAGCCACAGCTTGGATCTTATCCTCACTTTGACAGAATTGTTTCAGCACAAATCCTCTGCCACAGTCACCTTCGCTTGTTTCGTGTTGTTTTATAATGACTGAGAAGGATTTGAACTTTTTTCTTGCACTAATATAAGACTAATTGTATGCACCTGCCTTAAATGATCTACAAATTTGATTCTAAGACACAGTTAGGGATGAAGTTTTATTCTAATTGTGGAACTGTCTGTATATAATTTTTTTTTTCAACAAATACAACCCTCTGACATTTCAGTGGAGTGACTTGGTTGTCCCCAGCCAAGATCAAAAAGGATCACTGAATTAATATTCCTTTTATGTTACATTCATTTACAAAATAGGATTATTGAACACAAAACAAAATGCTATCCACATTCTATGTTCCAAAAGTATTATTTTTACATACTGTCTATTGATATTGAACATTTATTTCAACCTTGTTAACTTCTCCTTAAAACCGTCTTTGGAGGCCATTTCCTTTTATTTTAATTAGCATTTATGTACAGCTTCTATAACAGTTCGGATGAATGTTATCATTCACACAAAGATAGTTTTGGGGTTTCAGATGAGACCTTTATAAAGGTTAAATCACTCTCTTGCTGGCTGACTATTAAGTGACTTTAAAGTCGAATCTTTATGTATAAATCCAATCAGTGAATGCACTGTATAAGAAAATATACATATGTTTAATATTTATATACTTTTTATTATGTTGACTTTAAAAATATTTTCCTGAAATATCCCTATATAAATTTCAACCACATGACCTCAAAGAAAGAATTTTCAATGTGTTAAAAGAAGAACAAAACAAATAAAGCTCCCATAATTTTGTGTTCTGCATTCTTTACATTTTAAAATTATACTATAAACCAAACAGCAAGAAACTTACCTTTGGACAATGCTTTCCATATGGCCATGACACTGATCATTTTTTAGATCCATGAAATAACACTTAATGAAACTATAAATTGCAGATAAAATCTGTTTATTAATTATGAACTGGAAGGTTTTTCAGAAAGCAACAATTCATCAGAGAAAAGTTTTGCAAAGATCCTGAACAAATAATATTTCTAATCATAGAGTACATAAAAAACATTTTTTGATTCTTCCAACAAATAATTTCTCTACTCCTGCTACTTCCCACCCTGCTACTTCCTACTCCTAAATACTAAGTAGCAGTCCATTGCATTTTTTAAGGTTTCTTTGGAAGACAAGGTTTGCTGAAGGTCTTCTGCTTTGAGCTAGTCAGTCCTTGATGGTTCCATGTCCAGATAAGCAGTCACCAGAGCAAAGAGGGAATGGCTCCACTCAGTATATTTAAATAAAGCTACTTCTTAGTTCATCAGCGAGATGCCAGTTAGGTGATCCACAAATGTATTCCAAAGCCATATGAAAGATCATGCTGGAAGCAAGAGTTGCTACAGTTCATCAAGGAAAGACAGGTTATACTTGTGCTGGTAGACAAGAGACAATGACGGCTACATAGAAAAGATGGTGATCATTGTGTTTGGTAGATAATCTTTTCAGTGCGTCCATTTTAGACAATTTCAGAAAAAAATCATATTATCTTCGGAATTGGCCTTCGACATAAATTAACAGCGACAAGAAGAAAGGAAAAACAAAACAAAGTCCTACAGGCCATAGCATTTGTAGTGAATAAACCCTGGAATTGTGTTTGAAGTTAATCTAACAGCAGTCTTAAGGAATATAAAGTGGTTCTACAGAAAGTTGAGGAAGCTAACTAGCACTATCTGCCTCTTTGGGCAATTTGAAGCTAGCATAAATGTTCAGGTGATCAATACTAATTCCAAGGTCTGATACTACTGCACAAATACCTCAAAGGAGGGAAGGTACTGGGTATACCGCTCAGAGACCTGCACATTCCAGGAACGTATCTCAGAGGTCGGCAGCTGATAGGCCTGGAACTCAGGTATTGGCAATTTCTTGTTAAATAACTTTGAGGCCGGCAGCTGCTGGCAATATAACAAGATGGTGAAAAGCCACTGGGGCTTAAGCCAAGACTTTGGAAGCTTCTATACCCAAAGCTGCCTGGGCTGCAGTAGCTTATGGGTCGGTAGCTCTTGGATACGTTGTTAAATTGAACAAAGCACTTGGAATCATTGCGAAGGGTCTGGCAGGTTTTCGATGGATGTTGGATGGGTGTGGAGTAATTGGATACATACCCCATTGTCTGAGGGCATGGGCTGCAGCTGGGGCTGGATCTGATGCTCGTAGTTTCACAGGCACTTCGCACTTTTCCCAGGGACGGAGAGTTGCACGGCACACAGATGACTGAGGGTTCACAACGCGATGCGCAGGTCTGCGGCTCACAGCTCAGAGATTCACAGCTCAGGACTTCCCCGTAGGACTCTTGGCAGTTATCCAGGAGCCAGAGATTTCCTTGGTAGCGACTGGGTAAGCAGAGTCCACAGGTGGGATTTTCATCTCTCGAGCAAACAGCCACAGAAGGAGTCACAGGGATGTAACAGTGAGTGCTGCAGGGCGTGGCATCACACACCCCAGAATAGCCAAGAACAGACATGAATCCTTAGTGTATACTATTTGGTGTTCAATGGTGTCACGAAGGCAGAAGACTGACGACTTTATATACCTTCACTGGTGGGTGTCAAAATAGTCTCCAGACTCTCTTCCTTCTCATTTCCCGGAACAATAATGGTTCAACAGCTCATTAGGGTGTTGTTTAGCCACAGCTCCTGATGTCTCCACACTCATAAAAATAAGTTTGTTTTGATTCTTCAAAGTATCTATTATCGCCACTTAGACCAGCACCCACCATTCCTCAGCTGTAGACCATAACATCAGTGAATAGTGATTTTAGGGTTAATAGGCAAACTCTCACCTGCCAATCAATGGTTAACAAGAATGCAGGTGTCTACGGGCTTCTACAGTGTGCTTATTAAAGGGGTAACAAGGATTCAAGGGAAGCTTACAACCTGTACTTTTCTGTTCTTCAAACCCAAAACAAAGCAGTTGCCATAGAGCCAATATTTGCACAGGACTTTGAAGACTGCAATCTTTGGTAGCAGATATGCTTCGGCCTTTCATCTAGGGTGCCTGGAGGTGGACTTGAACTGTCAACTTATTAGTTAGAAGTTGGAAGCATCACTGAACTATCTAGACTCCCTCTATTCTTTTTATTTTTAATTAATCATTTTTTGTGGGGAGGACACTCTGACAAATCTGATGACAACCCATCATTCGATTGTATTAAGCACACTTGTACATATGTTGCTATCAACATTTCCAAAACATTTTCTTTCTACTTGAGCCCTTGGTATCAGCTCCTCAGTTTTCCCCACCCTCCCACCCTTATGAATCCTTAATCAATGATATATTGTTGTTGTTATGTCCTGTCTTACACTGTCTGCTGTCTCCCTTCACCATATTTCTGTTCTTTAGACTTCTGCAAAGCACTACAGGGCTTGATCATTACAAGAAGCCTGTGAATCATAACATATGATGAACTACACTTAGAACCATAGTTTTTACTTTTTATCTTTAGTAAGTAATATATACTAATAAATGTTAAAATATATCTTTAAGTTTGTGTGTAGTATTCTTCAACCCCAAAGAAGATCAGATTTATTAAAATACTGATAATAAAAGGCAATAATGATGAAAAGTAAAAGCAAAGGAGTATTAGACTTACAACTTACATCAAAACCTATTACAATGGAATAATCAGAATGGAGCTCCATTGCAAATAAGAAATTATCTGTATATTGAAATAAGCTAAGTGACTTGGCTATCTTAATATTATTGGTCAAAGGAAGCAAGGCATTAGATTATTAAAAGAATGATTTGGTTCCCAGTGATGGATGCTATGTGACCTATACCAGGACACTTGCTTATGAAAAGTTCTCATATGGCCTGTTTGGGCATTCTGAATGGAAAACTCATAGAAATCCCGGTGAGACTTGGTGATCTGCAGGGATAAAGATAAAGTTGTCTCCGTTGGCCCATGCTTATTAAGGAACTAAGACTTCTCTGGAACCTCATTTGTAGAGTTTCTGTGATGTATATTATCAAAGAAGGCATGTTTTTAAAGAAAATATGGTAGTCTAGGTGGACTAGAGAAACAAATTCATAGACACTCATATGTATATAAGAAAGAGCTTTATATAAGAATAATTGAATATTAAGGAAACATCCCAGCCCAGTCCAGATCAAGTACATAAGTCCGATTTTAGCCAATATATCTGATACCAATCTATAAAGTCCTCTTCAGACTCAAAAAACATGTAATGATGCTGAATGGAGGCATATCACAGGCCAGTGGGTGGGAAGTCTTGTGGATCCAGTGGCGGTGTAAGCATCTCAGCTTACAGGGGTCTCCAGGGTCTCCATGTGGCTCCTTCAGCTCGAGGGGCTCTAGTGTAGTTCCATGTGTCTTGTCCACAGGAATGTCTCCCAGGGAGTGAGTTGGTGTCCTGCCTCCAATGAGCTATGTATCTCCTTAGCACCTCTAAATGAGGTCATCAAGCTTCAACCTGATTGACAAGATAAACTCCCACCCTTTATTCTTGAATCACAAATTGACAACAGATTATGCAACTAACATGATAATAAATACTTTTCTAATTGAATATGATTATACATTCTATTGCCTTGCTGAAAATTCCATTTGCTGTCAAATCTATAACCTTTCCCCTCTGCCCCCCCAAAGAAGTATTACTTGGTCTTGATTTGCTTTCTTTTGTGCGTAGATGTTATTTCAATGCTGTATTAAAGAATATTGTTATTTTTGGTTTATGTTCATAAAAAAGGATCATGTTTAAAATGTATTTAAATAGTCTATAGTTGCTATAGGTTCAGTATATGTTTAATAACATATTTCAATTTTATTGATGAAGGTGAGAGGATTTTTTAAAGATATTTTAATTTGAATCAAAGAATTAACATTTGCTCTTGAAATTTTGAAGTGTGATTTTACTTAAGCATTATGGAATTGGAAATAGCCATTGAATGAAAACTGCCGTGCACTTAGTAACAAAGATTGTCTTAGACAGGACAGGGGTGGTCGAATTAGCTACGGGGATAGTTTTTTAAAGTCACTTCTCTCACAGAAGACAAATAGATGTTTCTCTACATCTCTGAAAAACGCACTCTGATTTAAGGCTACAATCTCCAAACATTTCTTTATGTAAGTTTTCTACAAACTTCCCAGTAATTATTCTATAAAAATCACAACAAACAACTCTTTATTCAACACATTTTGGTATTTTGTGGGGTTTTTGCTTGGGTGAAAGGGTCAGGATCAGGGAAACATGTCTTTAGGGAACCGTTTGGGTTCCTGGGATTTTTCACAGAAAGTCACCTTTGAAGTCACCAAGATAGAGAATATCCATAAGGCAGATGATGGCCAACTTCTCACTACGTTGATGGCTCCTCATGATCTGCAGAAAGCTCCATAGTTAGAAGAGGCCTCCTTTTTTGCATCCATCAACTCTTAACCTCTAGTGCTTATGTCTTAGACTTCATTGTAGTCCACTCAAGAGAGGGAGAAAAAACAGTCAGACAATCAACTGTGAAGTCCTCTAGTTCCTTCTCCCTCAGCATTAAATACAGGGATATTTTCAATCAATGTCCTTCCCACTAGTGTGGATGCTGTTATGTGGTGCCACGTTTATGTTTTACTCATTGTGATCCCAGATGACAGAGTGGAACTGCCCCACAGGGCTTCCGTGGCTTAAATCTTTATGGAAACAGATTACAGTTCTTTCTGCCATCAATCAGGTGGGTGCATTCAAACTGTCAACCTTTCAGTTAGCAGCCAAGCTTTTAAAGAGTTGTGCAAGGGCTCCTAGTTTATATCCAACAAAATAAATGTAGAACATCATATAAACTAAGAAATGTTGAAATCATGAGAATGTATAACATACATACATACTCATAAGGCATTTTGGTTTGATAAGATTCTGAACAATTAGACTCGGATTTGCAAAGACGGTGTGAGCTCATTTTATCTTATTTGTATTTATGTCTTACCTTCCCACGCAGTCAGATGCAGCCGTCATCCAGTTATCTGATGCATGTGATGCAGAGGAAGTGACACCCTCCTCTACTCCAGGCTTCGTCCTGGCAGGCCACAGAGCAGACGGAACCTGCAGCAGAGTAAGTATTACATTCATAACGATGCTGCCAGCTTAAAGGGAACATAGGCAGGTCTCATGGGTATGCCATTGTCTTCTGGAGCTTACTCTAGTTCCATGTGATGATAGAATAATTAGTTTTCCTGGTTTTGTATTTGCTATATATGCTACACTGAATAATGGTCACCATGAGTCAGAATCAACTCACTGACCATGAGTGGTTTTTGTTTTGTAATATATTACCTGGGCCCTGTTAACATGTTCAGATATGCATGTGTAACTGTTGATTGCAAGGCCAGTAGGCCCAGCTACCAACCTCTCACCTGGAGAAAATTGAGGCTATCTGCTCCTATGAATTTGATAAAATTTCAAACAGACTCAGTACTAGTGGGTTAATATTTTACCTTATATGGGACTTTGCAGATAGTATTAAGGTGAGGATCATGAATTAAATTATCTGATGAATTTTGCTACCCATTGCCATTGAGTTGATTTTGATCTATAATAATCCTATAAGGCAGAGCAGAGGGATCCCTGGTGGCATAGGGTGTTACATATTGGTCTCCTAAACCCTAAGTCAATAGTGCATACAAACCAATCACTCTATGGGAGAAACATGAGATTTCATGCTCTCAAAAATATTTACAACTCTCAAAACCTAGAGGAAAATTCTACTCTCTCCCATGGGGCACTTATGAGTTGGGATGGACTTTATGAGAGTGGAATTTGGTTTTATAAAAGGGAAGGAATCTTGGTGAGATAAATATTGAGATACTAACCACAAAGTGAGAGATTAAAATCCACTATTCGGTCTTAAATAAAAAGACGACACTGACTACTCTCTTAAAGACTTACCATGACAGTAACTGTATAAATAGTTCTTGGGGGCATTTCAGGGCAGGTTGGAGAGAAATTAGGAGTTCATGACATGAGTTCAAGAAAAAATAAAATGTTCTAAAACTGGTTGTGGTTATTTTATTGCGCAACTCTTTTTGATGTGCATCATATGGAAATAGAACAGTTTAAAGAGATATATGTATATAATTTACAGTATCAGAACCCAAAGGTGCAGTTTTATTCTGACCCTGGGTGTCAAGAGATCAGAAAGATAGGGAGAGAATTCAATGTGGCACCAGAAGCCTAGCTTGGAGTGATATAATTATAGGCTTCAAAATGCTAGTAGCCCTTAGAAACTATATATAATTCCCTGCCATTGAGTTGAAACCAACTCATAGAGACCTTATAGGACAGGGTGGAACTGCCTCTGTGGGTTTCCAAGGCTGTAACTCTTTGTGGGAATAGAAGGCCCTATCTTTCTTTCACCGAGCAGTTGGTGGTTTTGAACTGTTGACCTTTCTGTTAGCAGTCCAACACAAAAACACTATGCTATGAGGGCTCATGAACTATATATGACAGGGGGAAATTATCT